CCCTCACAGGTCTTCATCTCCCATAATATAAAGAAACCAACTGTTAAACCAGTCTGTAGTGTAGACGTACCAAATCTGATGTCTATTGGAAATGAGGTGGGTTGTGAAGCATGACTGATAGTAAATTCTGTATATCTGATGCAGAGAGTTGCACCATCTGTTTAGAACAGAGGCATAGTTTCACACAATACCATATGGATGGAATGTTTAGTGCAATTCTGTGCTTGTTCACTTACAAGAAAGTCCCACCAGGTTAAATGGAACTGACTCTTACAGAGCTGGGGAGAGGACTGCAGTCCTAGGATAAAGTTTATCCTGACCACATGTCATTACAATACTCCTAAATTTGGTTTATTTAACATATAAAGTTCTGTGGCTAGGAATAAGCCCCTAGGAAGAATCCTGAAGTTCAACATGGCCTTCCCCTAAGTTCACAGGACTGGAAAATGCCTCTTGGCTTTAGGTCACTAAAATTAGGAACACCCAGTTCAGATAATATGATCCATCCATGCTAAATGAAACCTTTTGTGAGGCATCCGGAGAGCCAGTCATTGTGCATATCAGACCACCATTGTATGTCCCAGATGCCTCCAAGCCAAATTCCTAGGGCATGAGGTGAGAAAGCTCTTTTCTGTTGGAAAGGTAACAAGAGAAGGCAGGGACCCTTGCAGGGAGATCTGGCTGTCAGGTCTGCCTCCCTGATAGTGGACAAAAAGCAATGAATGGAGAGGGAGCATTTCTTCATCCCATTTGTCATCATACAAAAGACATCTTATTTTACTATTTTATTTCGTTTGTATCCCTCCTAATAAAGGGTCCAGAGAAGCTAACAACCTGTGTAAAGCATAATATAGCACAAGAACAAATGAATATGAAATTTATAGAGATAGAAAGATATGTTACAACCATCAACTCAATCACAAAAGTAATAGTACACTTGCCAATGGCTGCACAAATAGATAGGCCTTTAATTAGTACCTACAAGACAACAGGTGGGACACAGCCAAATCGCTACTTAAGAGATTTCCATAGGTAAGTCCTATGGGCCACATTCCTGAAGGAGACTACAAACGAAATCTCCTTGGTGGATTGTAGATCTCAGAATGGTTGATAGTAGGGAAGGCAGTCCGGGGTCCCGAGTCATTTAGGGCTTTGTACACTGGTACGAATGCCTTGAATTGTGTGTCGTAGCTCATTGGCAGTGAGTGCAGAGATTTAGCCTTGAAGGCCACCTTCAAAAAGAAATTCCACATAGAAAGAATTGGAACTGGGAAGTTATCAGAGCATGGATTACAGTGGCCAGTTATCCAGGTCCAGGAAGTGCAGTAGCTGGCGTGTTCCTAAATCCCAAACCGGGGAGCCACCCACACACAGAGCCCCCTCTTTCCAGGAGCTGACTTCTTCCAGCTCACCACTTCCTCTAGGCATTAGTCCATCACTTTGCATCTTGCCTGGCTGTAAACTATTGAGTGAGTCCCACCACAAGGATTTTGTGAGACGTTCATGAGCTCCAACTGTCCCTTTTACTCCTTATTCTATGTGCCAGTCTTTTATAAGTCCTTGACAGGATACTCCTTGCATAACCAGTCAAGAAACATGAACTGGCTATTTGCTTTTTTATCCTTAACACATTTTCTGTGCAAACAAGTAACTTTCTGTTGTAAGAAAGAGACAATAATGGTGGCAAAACATGAGGCTTATGAATGAATGGCAGTGACACAGGCCCTACCCTACATACAGTTCCAAGACTGAAGCACAGTGATAGAGCAATAAAAGTCACATCTGGAAGCACCCCTGTTCCCCGTATTTGTCCTTGGGGAAGCTTATTAAGCTTTTGTGAATTTAGGCAACGCAGTTGTCATTTTTCAGCAATCAGTTTCCTCCTACAAACTCTTAACTATTAAATCTCGTGTGTTTAAGTGCATAGACTCAGGCCACTTTGCAAACTGCAGCTGCTGAGGTATGTTGAGGAACAAAACACCCACTGACCCACAATCCTCGCTGAATAAGAACACAAGACAAGACAAGCTGGTCCATCTAGTTCAGCATTCTGCACGCATGGTGGCAAACCCGCTTATGCTATATGCAGGCAGGCCACCCCTGCTAAAGGAGGCAGCCCAAAGCCAGTAGCCAGAGAGCCCTCCCCATCATGAATCTCTCCAGTACCTTTTTAAAGCCATCCAGATGGCTTTAAATCACCACATCCCATGACAGCATATTCCACAGTTTAATCATGTGCTGTGTCGAAAAAGTACCACCTTTTATCTCTCCTAAACCTCCCACCAATCAGCTTCATGGGGTGGCTCTGGGTTTGAGTTTTACAGGAGAAGGAGAAAAATGTCTCCCCCTTTACTTTCTTCACAGCATGCATTATTTTAAGACATCTATAGCGTCTCCATCATGTCCCCTTACTCGACTTTTTTTCAAGCTGATCCTCAAAGTGGGGCAACTTCAGTCCTAATTATTTTGATTGCCTTCTCTGTACTTTTTCCAACTCAATAATATTCATTTTCAGGTAAGGCAACCAGAACTGAACATAATAGTTTAAATATGTTCACACCAAAGATTTGTTTAAGGGAAGTAGAATGTAGGCAATTCTATTTTCTATTCCATGCCTAATTGTGCCTAGCATGGGGTTTGCCTTCTTCACAGCAGCTGAGTCCTTAATTTTAGCTGTAAAATGTGCGTGGGGGTATCTGGATCTGAAGGTCAAAGGGAGACACTGCAGGAACTACTGCCTCCTGGTGTGTTCTGCTGCAACTATTTTGCACTGTGGCAGTTAGCTTCAGCTTGCAATATGTCCAGCTCATCCACGGTGGAGTGGGGGATAAGAAGCCCTGAGAGAGCAATGGTGGCATTGTGATGGCTGAGATGGAAAGGAAATTGTAGTCACCTCCTCTCTTCTTAGAGCTCATCTATAGGGAATAACCTTTCTAACAGGGAAAAGCTGTCAAATAATTTCTCTCCACAAAACATTCCAAATCACACAGAAGGAGCCCAAGCTACCACCCTGCCTCACATGGGGCTGCACTCACTTTTCTGAGTGTTAATGGAGGGAAGCTGCAGGAGGGATTGTCTGTGTGGACAGTGTCCATGCCAAACTGCAACTGTGTAGCCTGGTGATAACTCACCTTTTTTAAAAGGCGCACTGTGTGTAAAACACCCTTTGCAGCAGATTCCTCAAGGCTTTCTATGGGTGAATAACACAGATGTTCAAGTCCCCCAAAGAACCTGTAAAGAAGAGCATTTGGGGGCAGAGCCTCTCAATCCCCCCTTCCAAGAATAAACCCTTGTGGGGGGTTGGGGGGACTAGGGAGGCCCAGCTGTTCTCTTGATTTTGGAATTCACCCTAAGTGAATCTACCATTCACTAACCACCTGTTATGGTACTTGAGGGTTAACCTCAGTCTGTCTGTTGGGGGGTGAGGGGAGAGGCAAGGCTTGTGCTATAAAGCACTGAGCCCCTTGTGGGGGTTTTCTCAAGTTTTGGAGTCCCCTCCCCTCCACTGCTAGCAGCAAGGAGGCACTGTCAACCAATTGTGCCCTGGAGAAACCAGGTGCTGCAAGAAGGGCGAAACCCCGTCTTGAGGTGTGGTCTCCTGGACCATTGCAAGGAGCTAACTAGAGGTCAGCTCTGTGCATAAGGAAGGAAGGAGTAGTTTCATTATGAAAAAAGGAGTGGGTGATATGGGAAGCCACCACACAAGGCACCAGTGCACATCCTTAGCGGAGCACCTCCCAGATTCCCCAGACAGGGTCAGGATAGGTGCCTTTAATGGCCGCTTTCATTCTCTTTTTTTAAAAAATCAGGCTATAGACTAGAATGGCCAGTCTTGCTCAATGGAAGAGCCACATATGGTCAGATATCTGAAAGCCACAAGCAGGCACCTGCAGGTGGCAAGTGGACACCCATGAGCAGAGCCGTCTTAACAGCATGATGGGCCCCGGGCAAAGCAGTGCCCTGGGGCCCCTACAACAACTACAACTACTGTTCATTCTGGAAGTTTTCCAATTTTCCAAGGGTTAACATACACAGATTAGTATGGGGCCCATGGGCAAGTGCCCATCAGGCCCATGCATTAAGACAGCCCTGCCCGTGGGCAGCGGCTGTGGGCAGTGAGCGGCACGTGGGCACCCATGGGCACCCATGAGCAGTAAGCTGCAAGCCGCAAATCAAACCCAAAGAGCCCCATGCAGCTCCCACGCTTCGGTTTAGCCAACCTACGACAAGCATTACTAAATGGCTCACTGTGGTTCTGGGGACATTTCAGTGCTCCTACAGTGCCCCCAGGACACTGCAGGAGGATGAGGGGAGTGGGGAAAGGAGGCAGACACACCCCTATGCTGTGCTGATTGCCTGTCAGGAACAGAAGAATTTTAACCACAGTACATGGTTAAAATTCCCAAGAAGTTTAACATGTTGTGCAAACCTCCCAGTTTAGTCTGGTTTTTAAGGAGTCATATACCTCAAAAAACCTTCCCCCTCCATTATAACTAGTCCTTTATAGATTTGCACTTATCTGTAGGATTTCTCTGGCAGCTACAGTATTTAGAAACATAGAAACAGAGCAAGGCAGAAGGGGCATCCTGAGCCATCTAGTCTGACCTTCTGGTTCCAGATGGCTTGGTTCATGAATTGCCTACCAAGCATTTGCCAGTGTTAAGTTCCCTGGTACTGGAACCATTGCAACACTGGGATAATTACATTCTTTCTTGACTCAGAAATAAGTGTTTGCAATAAAAAATTAAACGACAAGCCACTAAAGATCTCTTCAGTAGAGAGCAAGGAATCTGGCTCTGGCATAGACTGAGGGCTTAGTTTCTTCTTTAAAGGAAGTGATTTATGATACATGAAACTTTCAGCATTCAAGATTTCTTTTAAATGCCCATAAGGAAGTCTGTGTCTCCCACCCCTAGCTAGGCCCAGTTAGTCCCCCCAAGCTGTTACATGCCTGTAAAGAGCTGGCTAAACACGTGCAAGCAATCTTCAGCTGCACTTACCTCCAGCACCATCTCAGTCATTTGAAAACGTCTCTGAGAAGTTTTGTCAGATGTCACGGACTCATGAAGCAGCACCCCAAACATATCATATTTCTTCAAGGTCTGTTTGTAGTTCTTCTCACTCAGGTCAATCACTCGATCTTTTCCATCATAGGTAGGAAAGTCCAGTCCTCCTTCTGACCTGCAGCAGGTCAGCACATAAAAACCTGCCAGAATCCAGCAAACTGTCCTCATGTTGGTGTGTCCTTGCTTCTTTATCTGTAGAAGGGAAAGTGGATTCCAGTGAAAGAGGCTGCAGAAACCCAGCTCTCTGGGTACCAGCTTTCCTATGAATCCATCTAGATAAATAGAAATCACTGGGGAGCAAGACACAGCAAACTAACAGCCCCTCTTTGAAGACAAAGGCAAAAAGACAGACAGGAGAAGCTGGGAGACCAAACCCTGGATACCTTACATAGCTCGCCCCAGCCTCAGTGTCATTAAGAACTCCATTTTTAGGAAGCAGTTGTTTCAGACTATTAATAGACCCTGCAATGAATAAAAAGGACAGATATGACACGATTGAGGGACTTTGCAGGCACTCTGCTTTGCCTCAGAGAGCAGCACAGGGTGGGGGGGAAAGAACACAGAGACAGCCGCTCTGTGGCACAGGGAGTAACAGGCATTTGTTAGGCCTTCAGAAGGGCACAAGCCACTACTTGGATTTCAAGGATACCTTTCCCTAAAATACTTTACTTCATCATTGATTCTGAAGCAGTAAGAGTTTCACTAACTCTGCAGTGTGGTTTAAAGGAGATGTTTGATTGTCTCCTCACTCACCCTTCCCCAGGAGAGTTAAACCACTGAAGCAGCAGCACCCACTGGGCAAGGAGAGTTTCTCCTTTTTGTGATTTCTTTTAGATCACAGACATTCCCTGTAGTTTCATTGGGTTGCATAACATCTATGTATTTCTGAGTCACCATACTTGCCCTGCTGTCTTAAGTGGGTAAAACTTTATTAAAGGAAGCGGGTGGAACCCATAACTATGCAAGTCAATGCCTTCTCTTTGTTGTCTATGGACCATTGGCCTCAGTGAAGTCTGGTTGTATCAGTTTCTGGTTTTGTAAATGTTTAGAAAGACAAGAAAGAAGACCTTCCTCTCACAGTTGTAAACTGAGGTAGTATTTAATGGGCATGGGTAACAGCAGGAGATGAACCCTATCTCCATTTCTGTATTGAGCTATTTTGAGCTGGAGGGAGAGTGGCTCTTTCCCCATGATCTACTATATTATGCTTTATTTTACTGCTTGC